CGACATATGGGACCCCACCATGGACATCAACAGTGACCAAGGAACTCACTTTACTGGGTCTGAAGTTCAGGAATGAGCCAATTAAGAATGACGTACACTGGCGTTTGCTTATTACCCCACTGCTGCTGGGCTATGACCGGACTACTTAACAACTGAGATGGGAAACTGGTTCTCTCAACGTGTGACACATCCCAGGAGCAATTGTCCCAGTGCCTACACCATGATAACCCAGAAGCAACTAGTCAACACAAGCCAAGTTCACCTATTGGCCACTGAAGGACCGTTGCCAGCTATTGGTCAGGACAGTAACTTACTTTTGCCCTTGCCGCAGGGTCTGTCCCCAGGAACACGTTATAAAATGGCCCTGGGACTGGCAGGTAAGTCCCCGGTGGTTTGCTTTTCCCGCCCCATGAGGAATAGGATTCTAAAGGGACTTAAGAGATTTCACCTGTCTTCTACCCAGCCCCACCTGAGACTGCTGAAACAATCCAGGCCCCCTACTGGAGAAAGGCACCATTATATCAGCCTGTGGTCAGTTGTTATACCACCTCTCCAGCGTTCGGCACCGGCTGAGGACTGAGGGTGGACAAGCGGTGTACTACTGCAGGCCAGGACGTGGCGGCAGAGGTAGTGTTATCTCAGAATGTTGTCACTGCTTGTCGTTTGCTTAATGGTCATGACCTTCCCTGTATGGTGCCTGTTAAAACATCTTACATTTTGTCCCTAGTCTGAATGGAGGGAATCTGTTTGTGGACTGGGCAACACTGGGGGCCTCACTGCGAAATGAGTTTGATTGCTGGAACTACAGTGAGATGCTGTTGTTGTCCTCTGGAATTCCATGAAAATTTGACCTGATGAGCTGCCTGGCTGTAAGGTTTGCCCACCTCTTGCACTCTTGATGCTTTTTAGCTTCTGTTGTCTGTATTGCATTTGCGGTATTTGGTGGCAGGGCACCCCTACGTACCTGAGCCCAGGGATATCTCGGAAGAGGGGTGAACCAAGATTGTAAGGGTCATGCGGGGTATGTGGGGTGGAGTGTATGGCCAGGCCACTCAAGGTGGCTGTTCTCTTGCTCTTTGTACATCCCCTGCTCGACCAGTCCCTGCTTCACCTACACTCTGCTCACACGAACGTGCTTGGCCTCTGCCCCAGCTAGTGATTGTTCTAGTCTTTAGGCCAGAACGGCTCCAGCTGCTAGTTTATTAAAGGGAAGTATCTGCCCTGGAGATGGTTGTTACCCTGAGGGGCTGGGAGGGACCTGCCCCAGCTGCTAGTTTCCCTGGTAACTGATGAGCCAACCTGCGGTCATTTCCCCCTATAAATGGTAGCCTCCTTCTCCCCTGACTAGCGAAGATTGTTGCCATGGCCTGCCTGTTGTCTGTCCTACATGGTAGGGTGACCCCTTGTTTTGGAGGGGTAGGATCCCCTATCCACTAAATCATTGTCTCTGTCCCTGCCTTGGGGCTCTTTCTTCAGTCTCGAGGCTGGGCAATGACAAGACTTGCAGGCCTGCGGGGTGCAGCCCCAAATGGTCTAAGGTTGGTCTGAGTTTCATCTTATTCGTTCCTGCCAACCTTTGGAAATGTTAAAGAACACTGAAGGGGTCCAGAGTCAGCATGAATGATTATCTGAGTGAATAAACAGAAGGATCAGTACAAACGAAAACCTCCTGGACACATCTTCAACTGGGTAGTGGGCCTCCCTGCATGAGTGGAGAGTAACATATATGAGGGAAATGCTTTGGAGGGAGTACTAGAGGCCAATCGTTACTGCCCTATAGTCTGGCCTATGATTTCATAAACTGGTTTGTTGAGCAAATGTCCACTATGTAACGGTTGCTGTATTCTTTAATGTGTGAAAGTTCACTTCAGAATTAGAGATGAATGTGTTTCTATTTAATAGTTTTACAATTATAAATGATGTGTAAAACAAGGGTCTCTTCCCGTTTCCAGTGAGAGACCCCATCCAATTGATCATTATGTCCCTTGTTACCACTGAATTGGTGATCAGCTCACTGAGGAGAAACTGTCATATTCATCTTCGGATCCTCCCTCAGCTGCCCCAGTTCTGGTAACAATCATTCAATTGCTTAAATTTCTTTCCGATTCCTACTGCCACCTTCTTGGCTCAGATGTTCTTCATGCTGGGAATATTACTAAATTTCTTTATTGCACACCTGATTCTATGCTTGACTACCCCCTGCCCACCCCCCCCCAAAAAAACCCTCATTTTACGTATTATATATTGCTGCCTGATGATTATATATAAATTAATACGTTACTACCCAACTCAATATTTTCAGTCAGGGGATGTTTGAAAGCTTATCATGTAGCTATTTAGTTTTCCCTGTTGTCTTAAGCAGTATTTCTTAGATTTGACTCATCCTAATAATCTGAGAACTTAAAAAAAAAAAAAAAAAGCTCAAGTTACACCTGAATCAAAATTCCCACAGGAGCCCAAGAATCTATTTATCAAGCATCCAGGTGACCTTTATGATTAAGTACTTGTGGTTATTGTACTGGCAGCTTTAGTATCACATGTGAAAAAGTAGATTTGGGGCCCTTTCTTACTTTGGGGTCCAGCAATCTGATTTAATAAGTCTTCCAGGTGATTCTGACGTACACTAAAGTTCAAATACCGTCGAACTAGCCTGTAACAATGACTTAGGGCAGTGGTTCTCAGATGTGGCTGCACACTACCATCGTTTAAGGAACTTTTAAAAACAATACTGAGCCCTTACCTCCAGATATTCTGATTGAATTGGGGCACAGTAAGCATTTGACTAATATATCATCATGGATACTGAGGCTGATGTAACCTACCACCTATAACTCATCTCAGAATTTTTAATTTATCTAGCCTTACTGATTGGATTTATATGGTGACAAGTTTGAATTTTTAACATAAATGTGTGCATCTGAGATATTGAGGTTCTCTGTAGACAGATTTAATTTGAATAAAGGGACCTTCTACTAATGGTTTGAAAACCACAAGCCTACAGACTCAAGTCCAAACCCTTCAGTCTTGCCTTTAAAACACAAGTTTATTGTCTCTCTTACTAATACCGCATAGCCCTACTCTCCAGCTGTAATATTGGGTTGGCCAAAAAGTTGGTTCGGGTTTTTCCGTAGCAGCTTATGAACGAACGTTCTTGGCCAACCCAATACACCTGTAGGAAGTATGCTTCCTGGCACCTAGGAAGGGGAAAGAGCACCAGACTGAGGTCCCAGACTACAGTCTAGTTCCAGCCTGTTGGACTTTGGCAAGTCACTAACTCTCTTTTGGCTTGTTTCCTCATTACGAAGGGAGGGGCCGGAACCAAATGATGTCTAGCACTCCTTCTGACTTAAGTGTTTTAGTGTTTTCACATTCAGGTTCATTTCCAGCTTAAGACTGTGTTGTCCCTTCTGTAGGATAACTCATCCAGAGGCACAGTTCAAGATCTAATTATCGTTAGCATTTCTTTGGCACTCAGTCCAAGCCTCTTTGACCTCTTAGGCGTCTTTGTGTGTTTATGTCTGGTCTCCCACTGGGTAATAGATTTCACGTATCTCTTTGTATCCCTAAATGCCCAGCATAAAAGTCCATGTTTCTTACTTTTTTCTCAGGACCATGAATTATGGCCGCCGCCATTTGTTTTATTCCAACAATAGCTATGTTGAAAGCTTGTTTTTGCTGAGTGAGCTCTCATGACTGTACCAAAGCTTTCCAACTTATATCCTACTTATCCTACAAATTTTCTTTTATGATAGTCCTATTCAGCCCCTAGTTTCCACTGATTATTCTCAAAATAGCTCTCTTGTGGCCTCTGCTGGTTTGACAGTAGACAACTGCTTCACTAATTCCTTAAATGCACACTAAAGGATTCAAGTGTAAGGACACTTCAGTTTTCCAAGGAACCATTCTAACAACATCAGCTCAGCAAAGAGAAAGATTTTGAGATGTCTCTTAAACTGCTAGCCTTGCTGAGAAAAGACAGTGGTAAAACCTGAGATTTTAAATGCTTATTTCTGAAGTGGCATTTTTCAAACTTAAACTCATGCTTGTTAAGATGCCAGGAACAAGTGAATAAGATTCTTAGGTGTGTTCTTTAAAAGCTTGCCCCTTTGGAATAAACTTGTCAAAATTGGCCTGATTCTGATACTTGTATTATACCTGGCAAAGATAGAAGTGCTTGATAAAGGTTTAAGTAAATATACTAGTGTTATTTGGTTTACGTAACACTATTCCTTTTTGACAACTAAATTATAAGTTAAAGACGATCTGGGCAAGTATCTTTTCAGAGTTGTTTGTTTTAGAGGGCCTAAGAATGTTCTCTGTAAGTTTTTAAATACATATGCTAGATGCAATTTTAAATCGAGTTACTAATATGTTAAGCTGCCTTTCCAGTGGGACTTTGGGAAATTTTTCACTACGTGAGAGGTGTTAAGAATATTCTTCTGCTTCATTTGTTCTTTTCTCAAGGTAGCATGTTGTATCTTCTATATACATTTGGATACCTATGATTAACTCATTCAAACTGTTACCTCTGACAACCTTACGTTTCAAATGACTTAATCGGGATGCCTGTCTGTCAAAGGCAGGAAAGGTGTTAATCCAATGTGAAGTGCTGACGTTGCAGTTCTGCATGCTTTCAAAGTTTAAATCACAGGTCTTCAACTTTAGAAAGCTCACAGGCAACTTGAAACTATATGTAACTACATACAGTGACTGATACATATTTGTATGAAAATACTGTCTAACATATATAATGCTTTACAAATGAAGAAGCCCTTTCATATATCTTAAATCACAAACTGCAGTTCTGTGTTTAAATGCATCTGTCTAACTCAAGTGTTTTTAAAAAGTATCTATTACATTACTTCATTTAAAGGTAGAGCTGGTCAACAGCAGATGAAGAGACCTCAGTTTACCCAACCTCACAGGGTTACTGAGGAAAAATGAAAAATGCTGGCTAAAAGGTTGGATTTCTGTCAAGCCACTATTAGGTAGACAATCTCTTGTCTCTGCTTAGGCTCCTTTTTTTTTTTTTTTTTTTTTTTTGCAGTACGCGGGCCTCTCACTGTTGTGGCCTCTCCCGTTGCGGAGTACAGGCTCCGGACGCACAGGCTCAGCGGCCATGGCTCACGGGCCCAGCCGCTCCGCGGCATGTGGGATCTTCCCGGACAGGGGCACGAACCCGCGTCCCCTGCATTGGCAGGCGGACCCTCAACCACTGCGCCACCAGGGAAGCCCTAGGCTACTTTTTTTTTAAAAAAAAAAACAGATCATTGGAGATATACAGCTCTAACTGCACATCCTGTGGTGCCCTGTTCCAATCCAGGTGTCTCTCAGTGGCTATTGTGGCCATTGAGACACAGGGAAAGTTACTGGGAGGGGCCTTCTGCAAAACTTTTTAAAGAAGGACAAAAACAAATGACATGTGCCTTTTTCTTTTCCCTTCTACCTGGCTAGAACATGGACATGATTCCAGAGGCGGCATAACTATTTAATAGTCACAAGGATGAAGGCCACATACAAAATATGAAAGCAGAAAGCTAGAAGAAATCTGGGTTTACGAGGGCATAGACCAGCTTTGGACTGCCCATCTCCAGACATTCTAATGTGAGAAAAAGAAAACTAGTCATTTGTTGTTTAATCTTTTTTGGATCTATTTTTTGGCAGCTTAGTGTTAAGCTGATACATAAATTCCCAAGATTATTTGACGATTAAAAGAGAAAAATCTATGTGAAGAGTGTAACACGGTTTCTGGCATATACTAAGTGACCAATGAATGGCTATTATTTGGGGAAGATCAGTTGACTGTCAGCAGAGAACAAAAAATCAAACATAGGATAAACAATTTGGGAAGGGAAGAAAAGTGCTGAATAGAAGCTATGATAGGTCCATTAAAAAAAAAATTGAGAATCACACTCAGAGCCAAACAATGTACAAAGAGGTCTAACATAAATGTAGATACTAAATGTAAGTGATTTCTTTTCCAATCCCCTCTCTGAAAACATAAAACTGATGTCATTTACTCATGAAAACCTTGATCAATGAGGAAGATGAGACTAAAAAGTTTTTTTAAAAAACTCTGAGAAGTAAAGGTTATATCTATAAGGTTATTTAGATTTTGGTGAGGCATTCCATTCAGTGTGTCATGTACTCCTGCTTATGTAATACTGTCAAGATCTGGATTAAAGGAATACACAAGACACTGATAAACAAAATGCCACTAGAAAAGGTGACACAGATGTGGTCAGTCATCGTGATGACTCAGACACTAGGTTCCAGAGGAGTAGAAAGTTGCTGAATAGAGAAATCTATTTTTGTTCACAAATTGCAAGTTCATAACATTAGTCAATCCAGAGAAATACAACTAACTGAATTTGAACATGTGGGCGGAGAAGAACTCAAATTGTTTGGAAACTGCACTAGGAAGAACAAGTATGATGAAAAGAAAACATGTGAAGAGCGGGAATAGTATGATCAGAGGATGTTAATTTATAGTAGGTGGCAAAGGAAAAGATATTTGTAGTCACCTTGAAAGGAATTCACTACCGAGCAGTTCATTTCAAGTCAATGAAAGAAAGAAGCTGGAAAGTTAAAAGGATTGTTAAAATTTAGCCTTTTAAAAGACATGAATGCCAGACATTGGAATGACCTACGTAAGAGCAACTTGATTAAGAGGAAATCTATGTTAACATGAAGTCACTACTGAATGTGAATACCAAGGGAAGATGGAATAAAAGACCCGAAAGGCAACAAATCAGACTACAACTATCATATTTTCAAAACTGTAATTAGGTATTACCAAATAAAGTAATAAACAACTTTTAACTTAGAGTGCAAAATAAAAGCACCTTATTATTTTAAAGGTGCAAAAGCAAGAAAATACGACATAAACTTATCCATTTTTAAATAGTCATCTGTGTGATGGGTAAATGCTATTTCAAAACATTTTCAATAGAAAAATGATTTATAAATCAGTTTTCAGAAGATCAAAAAAAATCAATGCTTAATACCAACTTTAACTATAAATAAAAAGAATATTGTCGTCTCTCCTGTTCTTGCTGCAACATTTATGTCTTCTGCTCTTTGCCTTTTGGAGAAAATATTGCATTGTAAGGCTGCCGTCTTTTTGGACGAGGACAAGGATCAAGATCTTCTTTAATGTAACCTTAAAAATAAATCACAAATTTAGAAGACAATATCTGCAACATATTTCAGCATGTATCCAGTAAACATCTGTCTCATTTAGTGCCTTTTAAGTTCACATGATTTTTCTATTAACTGGTTGTGCTGATTAATGATTTCACTACCTAGCATCAATTTTCTCATTTATACTAAAAACAATAGCAAACATTTATCAAATGTGCTGCATACATTATCTAGGATAACTCTCACACTCCTCTGCAGCAGCTTCCACTATGCCTGTTTCACAGCTGAGCTAACGGAGACCCAGGGAAGTTTGATAACTCGCTCAAGTTCCCAAAGCTAGGAAGTAGGAAAGCTGGC